CCGAAGATGGAAAATAAAGTTCCTTTCATAATTGGCCTTACATAAACAAATGTAATGTTTGTAGCTTTTACAGAAGCTTACATAAGAGACTTCTTGGACAGTGAAGTCTGTTTCCCAAAAGACTGTAGAAATGTGGTAGAGTAAATAAGCTGCATGGAAAAGTAGTCTTCTGTGTGAAGGACTCTTAATTACACATAACTTTTAAAATCAAATCATATGTTTTGAATAAGAGTGGAGACCAAAGACTTGACAGCCATCCTTGTATATAACCTACCATGAACACTGGCATAAAGCTCTGCATGGATAATCTTAAGAGATTGCCAGTGGGAAGGTATGTTTGGTAAGTTTTATTTCAACAAACCAGAAATTGACTAGGATGAAATAAACAATGAACTATCAAATATTTTCTGGGAAACCATCATGAGCACTCTTAACTCAAACCAGTCTATGAAAAAGATAAATGCAGCAACATACAAGATCTGTTCAAGATATCCCACTGCGAAAGCCTAGAAGGAAATGAAACATAGAAGATAAAAGACTGTACAGATGAGAATAAAGGGCTGCTGCACTTCTTAAAAGAAAGAAAAAAAGATTGCAACAGGAAAAAAAATTTCCACCAAGAAATTGCAGATATAGGGCAGTAACCTTGTGCTGGACAGAAAAAAACTTGCAAAAAAAAAAAAAGTCGTTCAAGAAATAGGGGGGGGGACCCCAAATACTTTTTAATGTGTGCAAAATCTGAGTCAAACCCCTCTTTCAGAATTGACCTTCTGCTCAATGGTTCATACACAGAAAAAGAAAAGAGAAATGAGGAAAATCCTGAAAGAACAGTATGAGTCAGTGTTCATTAATCCAAATGACATAAGATAATTTCTTCAATAACTCTGGTTACTCTACAAATTTCATCTGACATTAGCACAAAGCTTTCAGACTTCAAAAATGAAATTGGAGAAGGCACTTAGAATAAGGGGAAATTCCAGAGGCTTTAAAAAGTGCAGAAATAGCCTCTCTCTTTACAGAGGACACTGCAGAATGATTGTAAGGAATTACATGATAACATCATACATTATGAAAGACTTTGAAAGGGAGCTGCAACATTAACTTACTGTTTTTAGGGAAAGGCATGACTTACACATTCTAAGTCATCATGGATTTAAAGCAAGAAAATCATGCCTGCCACAAATACATGTACTAGATTATGATGATAAATCACTCAGGCTTTGGGAGAAATAAAAAGGCCAACATGATTTACATGGATTTTGCAATGGCCCTTGACAAATGTGACCATGGAGTGATAATTTGTAAAATGAGATCAGTTTTTATAACAGGACAAACATACAATAAGTATGAAAATTGCCTCAGTAAAGGACAAAAAAAATGCTAAGAGGTATCAACAGTTTTCCAATGCTCAAATAAAAATAACATGATGTTCAGCAGTGCAAATTTCAACTGCCTAGATATAGGCAAAATTAAGAATAAAAGGTCCAAGTCAGACCGAAATGTTGTCATCAGTTTCTTTCTCCTATGTGCAGGTTATATGTGTATAGAAAGAATGCACAGCTCAGAATGCAGGCAGACCATCTCATAGAATATAGGAATCAAGTAAAAACTTAGAAATAGCAATGTCAGATCACTTGTCACTTAGAGAACACATTAAGTCAGTGCAGCATAGACCAGGAAACTGATTGGGTGCATTGAGGGAACATTCAAAGCAAGAAAAGCAATGCTAATAATGGTACAATACTTTTCAAATCATTGGTGCCCCTCTCCCTTCCAAGGAGGTTCCTTGATGCTGGTGATAGGAACTTGATCTAGGGAATTGGACCTTCGCTCCAATTGCTTAAATTGAGCCTGAATACCTTCCATTTCCCCAAGCACTGTATCACCCCTGAAGGTTTAGTACCCCTCCCCAGAAATGTAATAATGCTGCTTTCTTGACTAATATTGGTCTGTGCTCACAGCACCTTTCAAGGCAGTCAAGATAGTGCTTGGATTATGCTCTCTGGAAAGAGAGAGATACATACCTGATACTGAAGGGCCTGGCTTCCAATTTGCACATTTTCATAACAGTTTAATAGAGTGAAAGATATGGAAGAAAGTTTAGAATAAATCCAATGACAACAGGGGTGCCACAAGTACATATAGAGATCATTGTGTCACCATTCATGGTCCAAGACTTTTCAAAACTTGTCACAGGTTCTCTACTTCATTTGTTGCTACTCTCTTACTCCCTGGGTAAACCAACTTGAAGAATCAAGCTTTCCTTGGTTTCCCAAGTTGGGTTTTCACTGCATGTTTCTGGTTAGGCAGATGCTCAGTCTAACTCAAGATACTGTCTTTAAATCAAAAGAGGAAAGTTTTTCTGATGATTACTTGAGGTTCCTTGGGGCTGCCTTCCTGGGTTGCAGCTTGAATGTTTTTCATCTCAGGAAGTTCAGTTTTTTTCCCTTTTATATTACTGTATTGAAGGTAGTATCTTGTATGTGATGATCCTTGAGCATGATTCTGCTCATGCTTTACAGGCTAGTCTTTAATGATAGATTGAAAAGCAATGGTGAAGTGGGTTTTTGTGGTGATCCTAGGAGAGGACTCGTATTGAGTCCATTGTTCACCAAAGCGCTCCGCTTTGCATACTTGCTATTTTCAGCTTTGCAAGATATAATGGATTTCGGTTCATTTTGTTTTTACTTGGCTTCAGAGTATTCTGTTCACTTTGTCTAGATGATTCTAGAGAGGATAACCTCTATCCATGTTCGGTACAAGGTCATTTCCTGCTCATGCTCATGCATGTTGGGACCCGTGGTAATGACCAGGAGGATACTGAGGTGAAGCTTGCTATATCAAGCATGCTCTGTGGCAGGTTTCTGCCTCACAATAACTTGTGGACCTTTTTCACTAGTTTGTCCATGGGAATTGGCAGGGATGATGGGCCCTACAGATAATCAGCAGATTATACAGGTTTATGTAGGATATGTTTATCCATGCTTTTCCTGCTAGAGTCATCACCATGGAATGATTGCTGTAGATTGAGGATTGGGACACATATCTCATAAGTTTACCTGCTTTCAGGTGATCCTGCTTGTTTCAAATCCTGTGATATGTATTTTCATTATCTGCCGATAATGAAAATACATATCACATATGACTGGGGTACCTATAGGGACCCTAAGAAATCTTAGAAGAGTGTGTCTTAGTGTTAACCAGTTGATTATTTTTAACTTGTTGGGTATAATAGTTTGTCTTTATTATTTTACTTTTTGTATGAAGTGTTTTGGGGGCTGATTATGGCTTACAGGTGTATGGTAGGTCTGCCTGAAATAGTGGAGTTGTTTATATAGCAGAGATCTTTTGATCCTTGTGCAGTGTAAATGTTAAAAATTCTTTCCCTTTATCATCATTGGTTGTGGTAAACAGTGCTGTTACAGCTGTGTTGCTAACACCAGACTTACACATGGTCATCTCATGGTGTGGTAGCTGGCACCATGGAGAATTGTCAGGTTGTGCTGGTCAGCTATCACCTGATTGACCTAATCATCAAAGAGTTTGTTGACTTAATTGTTGATCTCTTCTTCACTGCCCTGATAAGCTAATGGTACTTTGTCTTTTTACTTTTTTTTTCACTGTAATTGATTTACTGCACCAATTGTTACTTTCTCCACTTGCCATCATATTCACTCTCAACACTTCTACTTTTACTGCTACCATTTATCTTACCTTTGCTGTGCAGAGTTGAATGGCACACTTAAGTTTAGCATTTCCTATGCATATAATCCTCTTTTTGCTTTTAGATGTAAAAATATATACTTTCTTCCAAAAAATGCAGTTCATTTAGCATGTCTTCTTAATTTCTCAATTGCAATTTATGTTACAAGAAAATAAAATTGTCTAAAATAGCTTTTTAAAGAATAAAAAGACCAGATAAGTATTTTATTTCAAGGTTGTTGGATAATAAATTATGTGTTTGAGAAATTGTTATGTAGGTGGTTTGATTAGGTGAGTGCATTTTTATTTGTAAATCATAAATAGTGATTGATTACTATAAAGTAGAATAATGGCAAAATTTAAAATGAATACTAAATCTGAAATTATGGATAGCAAATATAGTCTAAAGTGAGGTGAACAAGTTTTTTTTTTTTTTATTTTTTTTTTTTTTTTATGTACTAGGTATTTGAGTCAAAGATAAGTTACTGAAGCTGTGCTTCAAGGGTGCTGGTTTCAATGGGAATATTAGATACAGTATTTGAAAATATATGTGGGAGTCCCTAGAGTGATATTAGATTAGGATTTTCTTTATAGTAGAAAGACATTTGATGCACAAAACATTTTTATTATAGACTACGTTTTGCTCTGGGTAAAGCTTTATCATGACTTGATGAAGCTAACGACAGTAAAACATCATTTAAAATAATAATACTGATTAAGATTTGCTCTGTACCAAGTTTCTTTCTACAATATTTGTCAGCATTACCTACCACATTCAGATATGGTATAAATGATACGAGTTCCTTAAGAAAATGTAGGTTAGAAAAATTGAGAAACTACTGTCATCAGTGATATGTAGTGGGATCTCTTCCCTTATGAACCAATAATTCATACATTGTCTAGTTAATTATTAGTTGTGATGTGTTTTTCTCTTGTCTTTTCATTCTTGAAGTAACGTAATATTGCAACAAGTATGTACAGGTTTTGTTAATAACTGTGAAGGGAAATGCAGTATATTAAATATTCAGAATACTGTTCTCTCAGAAGCTTCTAATCATTTAATTTAAAACAAATAATTCAGAGGCTTTTCTTAATGAATGCAAAACTAGCCAAACTATTACTAGGGTGAGTTTTTTATTTTATGGCTAATACTGTATGAAAATTTTAGATTTTTTGTAAATTAGTTAAAATATTTCTTTATGTAAAAAGAAATGGTTAACAATACATTTTAGCTAAACTGGAAATATATATGTGAGGTGTTGCCAGTTACTGAAGTATCTTGTCTCACCCACCAACAGCCCCCAACAGTACTGGGAGCTGTATTATCACTTCTG